GGGAGTCTGCTTCTCCCTCTGACCCTCCCCCCTCTCATGCTCTCTCTATCTCATTCTTTCTCTCAAATAAATAAATAAATAAAATCTTTTTAAAAAAGTCAAAAGAAGGAAGAAAGAGAAAGAAAGAAATTGACTTAATTTAAAAATACATAATAATTTAGAATCCGTAAGGCCAAGGAAGTATTCAAACAAAGAAATTAAAAATGAGTTTATTGCCTTTGGAAGTGATTCTTAATAATGTGCTTTCTGTGAAATAAGAACTTGAGTGTATCATCGGTGAAGTTGTCCTGCTGACTATCTTTTACCCTAATCATGCTTTCAGAGAACAGAGGAACAAATTAAAGAACATTGAGGTAATGATAAGATGTCCAGGATGTGGGACATTTTTTTTTTTTTAAAGATTTTATTTATTTACTTAGCATGAGAAGGGAGAGTGTCCAAGGGAGAAGCAGCCTCCCCACTGAGCCGGGAGCCTGACGTGGGACTCCATCCCAGGACTCCGGGATCATGGCCTGAGCCGAAGGCAGTCTCTCTCTTTTTTTTTAGAAGATTTATTTATTTATTTATTTGAGAGAGAGAGAGAATGAGAGATAGAGAGCACGGGAGGGAGGAGGGTCAGAGGGAGAAGCAGACTCCCCACTGAGCAGGGAGCCCGATGTGGGACTCAATCCCGGGACTCCAGGGTCATGACCTGAGCTGAAGGCAGTCGCTTAACCAACTGAGCCACCTGGGCGCCCCAAAGGCAGTCTCTTAACCAACTGAGCCACCCAGGCGCCCCTAGGATGTGGGACATTTTACAAGACAACTGTCCTGGTTCTATTACAAAAGTCAATGTCATGGAAAGAACAAGGGAAAGGAGTGTTCTAGATTAAAAGAGCATAAAGAGATGAAGCCAAAATAAGATGTAAACTTTGATTGGATCCTGGTTCAGAAAGAAAACTCCTAAAGAAACATCTTTTAGACAATAGTGGAAATTTGAATATTCAGTCCTATTAGGTGATATTTGAGAATTATTTTCTAGATGTGGTAATAGCATGGTTTTGGAGGAGAATGTCATATTTTTGGAGATTC